AGAGGGGTCTGGCACAGTGGAGAGGGGTCTGGCATGGCTGAGAGGGGTCTGACACCGTGGAGAGGGGTCTGGCATGGCTGAGAGGGGTCTGGCACGGCTGAGAGGGGTGTGGCATGGCCAAGAGGGGTCTGGCACAGCTGAGAGGGGTCTGACACTGTGGAGAGGGGTCTGGTATGGACATGAGGGGTCTGGCATGGCCAAGAGGGGTCTGGCACAGTGGAGAGGGGCCTGGCATGGCTGAGAGGGGTCTGGCATGGCCAAGAGAGGGGTCTGGCACAGTGGAGAGGGGCCTGGCATGGCAGAGAGGTGTCTGGTATGGCCGAGAGGGGTCTGGCACGGCAGAGAGGGGTCTGACACAACAGAGAGGGGTCTGGCACGGCCAAGAGGGGTCTGGCATGGCAGAGAAGGGTCTGACATGGCCAAGAGGGGTCTGGCATGGCAGAGGGGTCTGGCACAGTGGAGAGGGGTCTGGCATGGCTCAGAGGGGTCTGGCATGGCTGAGAGGGGTCTGGCATGGCAGAGAGGGGTCTGGTATGGCTGAGAGGGGTCTGGCATGGCTGAGAGGCGTCTGGCACGGTGGAGAGGGGTCTGGCATGGCCAAGAAGGGTCTGGCACAGCTGAGAGGGGTCTGGCACTGTGGAGAGGGGTCTGGCACAGCCAAGAGGGGTCTGGAACACCAGGGCACAGGGCAGGGCGGCGTGGGGTGGTACCTTGACGTCCCGGTGTGCGATGTTGATGGAGTGCAGGTACTGGATGGCTTCCCCGATGCTCTTCATGATCTCAGACGCCTCTGAAGCGGCAAAGAAACCATCAGAAGCTTTCCCAGGCAGGTTAAAAAGAGCACRGCTCCCTGGGTGACCCTACAAACCTGCAGTCACAGAACCTGGCTGAGCTCAGAGGGGTTTTCCCTACMTGATTTCCCCTTTCCAYGGAGTCTGTGCTGCTCCCCATCCCYGGRTAAGGAACCTGCAYCTCSCAAGGGAAGGRATGGGGCAGAGCAGCCCCTGACCCCAACACCAAGGAGGGGTTTGAACCACCAGGGACACCCAGGGAGGAAGGAATTCAGCTGGGAAAGGTTCCCCTTAGTATGGGAAGGAAAGGGGGCAATGGGGGCTCAGAGTTTGGGATGTGTAGCTGCTTTTCCTGGCCAGAGGAAATGGGATCAATGAAATCTTTGAGAACCACAGCCCGTGGACGTTGTTTTTTGAGCAAGGTGGATGTTTCTGAAGGTCGCTGAAGCTCCTGCCTGTGCTGGGTGTGGGAACAGCCCTTAACACTGCTCTCAAGTGAGCAGGAAAAGCAGGACCCCTGGTGCCCACATTCCCTGAGCACAGAACTCTGGGGATTCACGAGCCATCGAGGGCACAAAGTGGACTGAAAGCCCAGCAGGGCGAGGGCTCCATACCCCGTTCCGTGAAGGCCTGGTCTCCCCTGTCCTGGATGCGGCTGAAGAGCTCCCCTCCATCCAAGCTGCAAGAGAAGCAGGCAGGGTCACCTCCGTGTGTCCATCCCCTCTGCTGCCCGCCCAGGAGCTGCACCAGCTCAGCAGGAAACCTTCCCCTTCCCCATCCAATCCTTGGTGCTTCTGGGGCATTTCAGAGCCTCCTCCTTCCCAAAATGAGCAGTGCAGAGCTTGCTGCTGGCAGAGGTGCAGGCTGCAGGCGGACGTGGTCACCCCACAAAAACACATTTCCAGTAACGGCAGCCAGCGTGGCTGGAAGATGGTGAGAGCACTCCCAGCACACGGGGCCTCCTCCTGCTCCCTCAGCAGCACCAGAACCCTGCACAGAAATGCTGAGCAGAGTTCATGGCATGGGAGAGATGTGGGGAGCACTGGGATGGGCTGGGGGAGGCACAGGCTGGACCCCAGAGCAGGGACAGAACCATTGGTGGGGCTCCTTCCYCAGATATCCTGAGGAAAAACAGCTCCAGAGAGATCAGGACTGAGATATGGGGGAATTGTCCATGAGAGCAGGGATAATGGCATTTCCTGTCCCTGCTTTATCAGACCAAGGCAGAAACAGCAGCACTGATAGCATCTCCCTGACATTCACTGAACATCTGCAGGAGTGATTGCCTGCGGCCCCCGGGGCCTTCTGCTGCCAGAGCCCATCAGGAGGGATCCAAAACCCATTAGGAGGGATCCAGAACCCAATAGGATGGATCCAGAATCCATTAGGATGGATCCAGAGCCTGCCAGGAGCGATCCAGAGCCTGTCAGGAGCGATCCAGAGCCTGTCAGGAGCGATCCAGAGCCTGTCAGGGGGAAGTCAGAACCTGTTAGGATGGATCCAAAGCCATCAGAAGGAATCCAGAACCCGTTAGGATGGATCCAGAGCCATCAGGATGGATCCAGAGCCCATTAGGAGGGATCCAGAGCCCCTGAGGATGGATCCAGAGCCTGTCAGGAGCGATCCAGAGCCTGTCAGGGGGAAGTCAGAACCTGTTAGGATGGATCCAAAGCCATCAGAAGGAATCCAGAACCCGTTAGGATGGATCCAGAGCCATCAGGATGGATCCAGAGCCCCTGAGGATGGATCCAGAGCCTGTTAGGATGGATCCAGAACCCCTTTAAGATGGATCCAGAGCCCCTCAGGATGGATCCAGAGCCATCAGGATGGATCCAGAGCCCCTGAGGATGGATCCAGAGCTATCAGGATGGACCCAGAGCCCCTGAGGATGGATCCAGAGCCCATCAGGAGGGATCCAGAGCCCCTGAGGATGGATCTAGAGCCATCAGGATGGATCCAGAGCCATCAGGATGGATCCAGAACCCGTTAGGATGGATCCAGAGCCATCAGGATGGATCCAGAGCCCATGAGGATGGATCCAGAGCCATCAGGACGGATCCAGAGCCCCTGAGGATGGATCCAGAGCCTGTCAGGAGCGATCCAGAGCCTGTCAGGGGGAAGTCAGAACCTGTTAGGATGGATCCAAAGCCATCAGAAGGAATCCAGAACCCGTTAGGATGGATCCAGAGCCATCAGGATGGATCCAGAGCCCATTAGGAGGGATCCAGAGCCCCTGAGGATGGATCCAGAGCCATCAGGATGGATCCAGAGCCATCAGGATAGACCCACAACCCTGCTCCTGCTGGAAGCCAAACCCTTCCCTATGACAGGTGTCACACCCCGATCATCCCAGGCTCACAGAGCCAGTCCTGGGGACTCTCCTCCAGCCCCTCAGCTGTTCCTCCTTCCCCCAACACCCACCCCTTCCCCGTCCCGGGCTGCCCAGAGTGCCAGGCTGATTCTCAGGTGCCTGTTCCCTGCCAGGACCTGCTCACGGTGCTCCTGCACCCGCTGCCCCCCGGGCGACCTACCAGCGTGCCCGAGGAGAGGTTTTGGCAAGGAAGCTGCATCAAATCACAGCTGCGGTTGGGATGTGGTTTCAATACTTTCCCCTTCATTCCTCCTCCTCGTCTCCAGGYTCATACCAAGCTCCAACCCACACCAGAGGTGTCAGGGCAGCAGTGGTGGTGCCAGCTCGGCTCGGATGGTGGGTGGCCAGGATGCCCAGAACCCTCTGCCCTCCCTGGCTGCCCACCCCGGCTCTCGATGGCCAGAGGCAGTTTGGTTATGACCAACTTGTGACAACCACAGGCCTGTGAGAGCCGAGCCCRGTTTCGGAATGACTCAGAACCCACACAGCCCCGTCCGGGCTGGCATCCCCCTGGCTGGAAAATGCCCACCCCCGTTCTGGCGTGCCCCCACCACCCTGCAGAGCCATGCCAGCCCCTGGGCCGGGCACTCACCACTCCATGACGATCAGCAGACACTTCCTCCCCTGGTAGAGGTTCTCGTAGACGTCCATGATGCGGACGATGTGCGCGCACTGCGACGCCCGCCAGTGCAGCTCCACTTCCCTGCGCGCCTTGGGGCAGTCCTGCAGCATCTGCGGGGCCAACACAGACCCCGTCAGCACCGATTTGCCCCGGTAGCCAGGCTGTGACCCTTTGATGGCACCGTGGCCACCGAGCGGAGGCGGGGGCGAGAGCCGGGCGCTCCCCGCGGGCGCAGCCGGAGCGCTCTGGCAAWGCCTCCATCCCCATCTAGCGGGAGCACGGAGAAGCCCTTTGCCCTCAGCGTCTCTCCCTTCCTTCTTTCCCAGGCTGATAAAAGCTCATTCTGGCTGCCTGCACCTCCCCGTGCCCCACCAGCAACACCTGCCACAATTACAAGCTGAATTCTGCACCCAACTGCACCCCTGGATGCCACCAAGCATCGTCAATCTGCCCTTTGCTGCTCCCCAGAATTTCCTGAGCACAATACCCCCCTCACCACGAATTCAGAGCCCCYCAGCACCCGTGGCTGGGGAGCAAACAGCGAAATATTCCCTAAAAGCAGCCCTTTAATGAGCCCCCTGCCCTTCCCAGGACAGCTCAGCGTTGCCAGGCGCAGGGAGGATTTGCCCTGCCTGCCACGGACTATTAATTWTGATGTTTGTCAGGATAAACAACCAGCCCTAATTATTGTGCTCCTAAATATAGAACAACAAACGCGTCTATCTTGAGCGCAGCTCGGYTTCCTTCCTGTCCCCGGTGGCCTTTGGGGCCGGGCTCAGCCCCAAACACCCTCTGGAGCAGCAGGGGGGATGTGGGAACACATCCCTGCCCCGCAGGAAACACCAGGTTTGGTCATTTCACCARGATTTAGATAGAAAAATGCTTCTGACCCCTCTGGCCTCTTCTGGACGAGCTTCAGCAGAGGA